CTCTGCGAACGCGTTCGCACCGCGAACCCCGGCGTTAGCAGGTTCCGTTAACGAGAGGTAGTGAGAAGAGTCGAGAAAGCAAGGACTGGAGTCATTACCACTGTTTACGAAATGAACTCGTCCGCTGCTCCCTGCACCTGCTGCGCTGCTGCCACGGGGCGGAGGGGACGTGCCGTGCGTACGCTGCTGCCACGCATACCTCTGGCCCTCTGCCGGGGTCCCAAAACACCTGGGCAGCCTAGCTGGGGCATCGTCCTACCTGTGCCAGCGAGAGCCCCAAACCACTGTGCTCTAGTCCTCCTCCTTGCACTGGCTCAGCCAAGCTGCTCATCTCCCCCTCCTCAGTGTGCCCAACTGCAAAATGGGTGTAGCATAGCCCAGTGTTTCTCAACCTTTTGAGGCTCAAGGCACTCCTTGGAAAATGCCAGCTTTTCATTTTCACACTCTTTGCTGGCTACAGAAAAATTATGGAGCAGTTTTTCTGTTGCCAAAAACCTCAGATCACAACTATAGATTCCTGTTTGAAATCTCCGGGTTTATCACATGAATTGTGTGAGCACACCTAATTGTTGCGTAGCACCCTTGAAAGGACTCAAGGCACCCCAGGGTGCTGTGGCACCCGTGTTGGGAATCATGGGCATAGATAGACCTTACCTTGAGCATTGGAGGTGATCGTTGGGACACAAAGCTCTTGGAAGTGTAGCGTAAGTGCTAATTGCAGCAGTCCAAATGTTCAGCGATTGCGGCTATCCCGCTTTCTGGCTGACTGGCCTGAGACACGGCACAAGGGGCCTGTTTTCCAAATGGTGAATACAGAGCATTTCAGTCCAATGGTTTTTTGTGCCAGTATTTCCCGCCGGGCATCCGTAAGCTTCTGAGAGCGCGGGGTAGCTTCGTCATGTCTGGATGGGCGTTAACCCTGCCGCGGGTATCTAGAGGCTTGTTGAGATTTGCAAAATGTTACACGCGCCGAAACTTTTGCACTTAAAATAAAACGGAGCCGGAAGCCATTTCTCCTGGGGAAATCCCGCTGTATTAAAAAAGAGAGATTAGACTTCAGCCCTTGCAGACTGTTAAATGGGAAAAGGCTAAATACATAATTATGCAGTTTCTTAACCAAGAGCATTACGTACCCAATGGACTGTTTCCGTCTTGGGTAAATATTTAGGCAGTTTTTAAATAGTTTTCAGAGCTGCTCTACTTTGGGTAAGTAATTAGGCAGCTTTGTGGAAATGAAAGCAGCGCTCGGAAGCAGCGTCTTGTCCCGCTATTGATCTGTTGGTTTGGTAAATCAGTTAAAAACTCCAGGCATCCTTTCTCCCCCCACCCCTGACTCCTTTCAGTAGGAA